TTTATATTTTTAGAAAAATTAAAATACTTTATATTTTTAATAAAATAATATACAGTTTTATGTGTTTTAATGAATTAATATTTATCTTACTTGGTTGATTTAAAATTAACTAAAATTTAAATAGCAAATAATAAAAGTTAAAAGTTTAAAATAAAGATTCTATAAAACATTTTGTTTTGAATAATTTGATTATCATACTGTGACTGGATTATGAATGGTCTTGTAAGAGTGATTTTTTAAGATAGTACTGTTTTAGTATACAAATAAGAAAAAATATTTATTAAAGATATCAGTAAATTTATTAATTTATTATTATATTTAAACACGGTTGTAATAAAACTATATAAATACGTGGTAAGAAATACAAGCTTAAATCTAACTAAAATAATAAATATGATTGATGTTTTACCAATGACATAAGACGCAAATGTTTATTTTAAAGTTAGATAAACTGTGAATTTTATTCTTAAGGAATTACAGCAGAGACGGATGTAAATTTTCGATGATAAAACCATTCTACTTTTATTAATAAAAAAAAATATTTTTTTACAAAATTTAAAGTAAATTTAGTCAATATATTATTTTTTTATAACAAAGTTGATTATCACTTTACATTCGGCATAAAAAAATTAAGTTACTAAAAGCGGAATCAATGTTTTTAAAAAAGTAAAAAAATACATAAAGGAAAAACATTAATTTTAAATTAGAGAAGTGTGAATATCAATCTTAAATCTTACTTCGTCCTCGTGTTAAGTGGTAAATTTTTATTTAGTAGGCGGTTTTAAAGATGAAAGACATTAGATCCCTATGTTATGAAAAATGTATGAATAAGTTTCTGTCCGTTAAGTTGACAGCAACGACATTAAGTCCATGTTGATGTGGCAGTATTTTCTCTTTTCTCTCTTCTGCTGTCCACTTTTTTGTCTTTCTTGTTCAGCTTTTTTTTTTATTTGTTGAACTTATTTTTTCTTTGTGGACCTTATTCATATATTTTTCATACAATTACTTCATTTTTAAAATTGGATACTAAACAATGAATATAATTTTCTTTTACTGGGTAAACATGAGAAAATGAGTAGGTTAAAGGTAAACGTAAAAAAGATATATATATTTTCTCAGTTTTATAAAATTAAAAATAGCAAAAGAGTTATGCTAAAGAGTAACGTGAAAAGAATTTTCATGTTTAAATTTAGTTATAAGTTAAATCTGGTGAAATAATTTATATAATAACAGTAATGAATGATTAGGGTGATTTATGATCATTTATGAAGAAGACTTTAAGATAAGGTTAAAGAATAAATAAAGTGTGTAAAAGGTCTAAGCTTTAGCTTTCTATCGTCAAATTTAAACTCAAAAGTGGAAATCGTGAAAAGACAAGCGGATTTTCCCGTCAAATACTGTTACGTGTTCCAATTTATTGCAAACATTATAATATAAGAAATGATTCAATAACTTTATTCCTTATGAAAAAACTAAAACAAACAAATTATATTTGAATTTCATCTTCAATTTTATACGTATTTTTGTTTATTTTTAATTGAGCTCTTAAAACAATACATTAATTATAAGTATTGTTAATTAATTATAATTTACGTTGATCTCCATCACCGAAAATTTAAGGATATAGAAAAAGTAAAAGAATAGTAGATATAGTTTTAAATTAAAATATTTAATTATATTATTAAAATAATCTAATTTAATTAGTTATTATATTAATGTTATTGTCACGTGTTAATTTATAGTATTTTTAGTTTTATATTATTTAAATTCTCTTTTTTACTTTTTAAGGGAAAAAATTTAAATTGATATCACATGTCATTATTATTGTCACACAACAATATTTAAAAATTTAATTCAATTTAATATATATTTTTTTAAATGGAGTAATTTGATTTTTTTACAATTTGAGACAATATTAATAATTAAGTTTAATTATAACTTATATACATGTTAAAATACCTTTCAAGAATTTATTCATTAAATCGTTCTACCCAAATTTTTAAATTAATTTTATCTTTATATTTTTACATAAAAAATCACTATTTAAGGTTGTAATTTTTTTTAATATATTAAAAATGTAAATATAAAATAACACTTGTAACTTTTAGAAATTTATATTTGTTGCGTTAAAAATTTAAATATTACATGTGTCATTTTATATTTATATTTTTAGAAATTTTAAGTTTAAAATATATTTTTTTATGTAAAAGGAAATCAATTTGAATATTAAAGTAAAAGGATTTAATGCATAAAATTTACACAAATATTTTAATATGTATATATAAACTGTAATAAAATTTATTTATTAATTTTGTCTGAAATTACAAATTACAAAAATTACTTCATTTAAAAAAGAAAATAAAACTAATTGAATTAAAAAAGAACTAAGTATACCAAAATTACATACTAAAATTAAATTAAAAATTAAGGTTACAGCCAAAATTTTCATCCCAATTGCAATTTTTTTTCCTAAACATTTTCTTTAGTTCATTTTCTCTTTTATTATTATTAGCATAAGGTTTTTACTAGGTGGCGTGGTTTGATTTGACAAGTTCTTGGTTGAAGCAGACTTGAAATGAAAAATTAGTCCAAAATCAAACACACTTCCATTATTCATTCTACAAACTTGACTTTTTCAGTTCTCAAATTTATACGAATATAAAAAATAAGTTGAATATGTTTTTAGTCCCTAAACTATTGGTCATTTCTGGTTTTCGTTCCTCTTTTAAAATAAAATACAATTTGATTCTCGTTCTTTTCGAAACTTTAGTTTTAGTCCTCGAAAACTAATCTCGAAAACTACCACATTTTTAACCGTGTTAGTTGTCGAGGACTAAAATCAAAATTTTGAAAAAAATGAAGATCAAATTGTAACTTACTTTAAAAGAGGGACGAAAAACAGAAACGACTAATAATTTAGGGTTAAAAATATATTTAACCCAAAAAATAATAATAATAATTATTATAATAATTAAATTAAAAGCAGAAAATTCTCAGGTCAACAAACAACCACCACCACCAAGACAGCAAAACCGTGTTTGCTTCGTGTAATGTCTTTTCACAACATTTTATATTATAATATCAAATAATCTATTGCTAATGGTTTTGCAGCCACTCAGCTCATTCAAGATTTTTTCACTTTTAATTACTTAATTAATGCCTTTCAAAAACCCCACCTAACATTTCATTTTACTGTCACCATAATCATTTTTCTAATCACTGTCTTTATACAATTAAGTTTTTAAATCTTATATTTTTAATTATTTTATCTATTTAATACTTCAACTTTTTTATATTTTAAACCTTATATCTACTGTTTATTTCTTTTTATTTAATATGATTTTTATATTGCTTGGTCATCTTGTTTCATACTAAATACATAGTAAATATGATTTTTATTTAATATGATTTTTTAAATATATAGTAAATAAAAAATTTAAAATACATATGTGTAATAAAAAACTTAAAACTCAATGAAACTTAAATATTATTAATATCAAATATTTTCAACATAACTTATTACTTGTTTTTTTTTTTAAATTTGATTTTTAGATAAAAGTTTCTAATGTTCAGAATTAGTTACAGATAGTTTTAAAAATGACTTTTAAAATAATGAGAAAGGTAAAAAGAAGTCAAATAGTTATTATTAATCTTTTAGGTAAAAAGGTATTACATATTTGTATCTAATTTCAATTTTTTTTTTATATCGACGATTCAAATGAGTTATTTTCTTAATATTATAATTTGATTAAAAATTATTCTAAATATTGTATTTAAAATAAGTGTTATATTTTTAAATATTATATACTCTATTATTGTATTCCAATATAATATATCTTTATTTTATCATTTCTTTTCTAATAATATTTTGACTTTATTGACGTTTCCCTCTCCAAATTTCTCGCCTATTTTGTCTTCTCAAATTATTTTCTTTATGAATTTTTCTCTTAATTTTCATAGGATATTATTGTGATCTTTATAGTTTAAAGGAAAATCACCACCAATTTGTCTTTATTTGTTGTGTTTTTTTTCTTTCAACAGGTCAAAATTTATAACTTATTGAACATTGAGGATTTACTATTTTAAATGTTTTTTTAATAATTATCTAAAAAATGAAAAATTACAAACAGCATATTATAAGTTAAAATGTATTTTTCTGAAAATAACATGATCTTTCATGCGAAAATTACGCTTAAGTAGGGTAGAATAATTACAATGAACCTTTTTTAGTATTTTATGTAATTTTGCAAAATTAAAATTTAAAAAATTAAAGTCAATGGTTAAATTACAATAAAATCCCGTTCGGTGCTATAAATAAAAATATTTTAAAGCGATTACTATAAAATCAATATCAATAAATTTATTAAAATTTAAAATGTGTGATTTGATAATGTAAATATTATAAATGTAATACATTTCGCATGTTATAGTTTAATTGCTGTTTTTATGAATTATTTTTCCCTAAAATTCGAGATTTTATTTATTTATTTCTAACCATAAATACAACTCAAATTTTATTACACTTATTTTTTATTCTTAACCATCAGTATCGGTATTCTATCATTATTATCTTTAATTTTTTTATGGTTACAATTAATCATACCTCAACTGTTAACGAATTTGATTTATCTTTTGCTGAATAAAGATATCATTTAGATTAAAAAATCACTTTTTAAATGATGAAATGCAAAAAAAAAAAAAAAAAACCTTTTTTATAAGTACTCTAATTCATCTTTTAAAAAAAATTCTGTTACTTCATCGATAATTTCATTGAAATTGGTCGAAGTAAATAAATTGTATAATTGTTGTTTTCTTTTGTTATTTTTCTCGTTATTATCAATTAATTCACAGTAGGTATATGCTTGCCCCGCATGTGCTTCATTCGACTTTTTCTTCATTTCCGAATTATTTTAATTATATATTATCTGCAGAGCACAAATGGTCAGAAGTTGAAATTCTCGTTTATTTATTTTTTAACTGAAAGCGAATAAATATATACATTCGCTAAAAAACATGAAAATAAACGAAAAAGGGAAATCTGCGGAACATTCTTCATCTCGCTCTCGCTTTTCAAGCCCAACAACGCCCAAGATTGTGTCTCCGATAATTTGAATTCTGAAGAATTCTCAAACACTCTGTTTTTGATCATCGACGCTGATCTCTGTTTCCCTTCATCACTGTTTCTGATCGCAAAGGTCCAAGGTTTTCCGCATCAAAATCTAACTTTGTTGCCTCCATCATCACTATGGGTAGAATCACGAAACTGGGTTTTCTTCTGTTACCCAGATAAGTCAAAGGGTTTATTCTTTCTCTTATCTTTCGTTGCTATCGCCAATCGTATCAATTTTCGGACAAGTGCACAAACGACAACATTTGTATCTGGTCGCTTCTCGTTCCAATTGCGTGTTTCTTGTTCAGATTGTGAAGTTAACAAAGTTTAGGCATCTCTTTGTTTGTTTACAATTTTTATTTTATTTTTGTTTTTTCAGGTTAGAAGAAAAAGGGTAAGGGTTGTTCCGTGTTTGTTTGATGAATTATGTTCAATAAGATATTCAGTAAACTCCCTCGGAAGTCATCGAGAGGTCCCGAACACGGTGGAAGTGGAAAAGGCCATCATGGCGTTACCACTTCTTCGAAGAACAGTGATTCTGTTAGTGCTTCCCCTGGTGGCACCAGACCGGGGAATTCTTCCGTTGCGGGGCAGAATCATGGTAACAGAGTTCCATTACCGAAGGTTGTGAATGAGAACAATATTCACAACAACCCCAATAACGGGAATTTGGGTTCCTATGAGGCATTGCCTGCATTCAGGGATGTTCCCTCTTCTGAGAAGACAACTTTGTTTGTGAAGAAGCTTAGAATGTGTTGTGTGGTGTTTGACTTCACTGACCCCACCAAACACGTCAAGGAGAAGGAGATTAAGAGACAGACCTTGGTGGAACTCTTGGATTATGTGACTTCTGCGAATGCTAAGTTCGCGGAGAATGTGATGCAGGAGGTTGTGAAAATGGTGTCTGCAAACATATTCAGGACACTCAGTCCTCAGCCACGCGAGAATAAGATCGTTGATGGTGTTGATGTGGAGGAGGAGGAGCCTTCCATGGATCCTGCTTGGCCTCATTTGCAGATTGTGTATGAGTTTTTTCTGCGGTTTGTGGCCTCACCTGAGCTGGATCCGAAGTTGGCCAAGAGATACATTGATCAGTCCTTCATTTTGAAGCTGCTGGATTTGTTTGACTCCGAGGATCCGAGGGAGCGGGAGTACTTGAAGATGACTCTGCACCGTATCTATGGCAAATTCATGGCGCATCGCCCTTTCATCAGGAAGGCCATCAACAATGTGTTTTTTAATTTTATTTTTGAGACTGATAAGCATAATGGGATTGCCGAATTCTTGGAAATTCTTGGGAGCATCATCAATGGTTTTGCATTGCCATTGAAGGAAGAACATAAATTGTTTCTTGTTCGCATCCTGATTCCTCTGCACAAGCCAAAATGCTTGGCAATGTATCATCAACAGTTGTCGTATTGCATTACTCAGTTTGTGGAGAAAGACTGCAAACTTGCTGATACAATTATCAGGGGGCTGTTGAAGTACTGGCCCATAACAAATAGTTCAAAGGAAGTTATGTTCCTGGGTGAGTTAGAAGAAGTCTTGGAAGCAACTCAACCCCCAGAATTCCAGCGTTGTATGGTGCCATTGTTTCGTCGGATTGCCCGTTGTTTGAATAGCCCTCATTTTCAGGTATGAATTTCCCTTGCTCCTTTTTGTTTCCTCTTTCTTAATTTCACGAGGAAATTGCACCTCACTTTCAAATTAATTTTCTCTTGCAACTTCTTTGACCGATTCCTGAAAACTGTATTTTAGTTCATTCCTCTTGTTTAGAAGCTGTTTTAGCTGGCTAGAAAAGTTGAAACGTAACGCAAATATCAAAATAAGAAACTCAATTCTTTGGTTTTGTTATGTCTTCTTAAAACACGGAATCAACATTTCAAATTGCAATTGTGGTCAGTTTTTTGTCCCATTTATTGATATTGTGGGAAATTGATGCCAATGTGGCACGATTGGGATTGTGTTCACTTAATAAACCTTGATGTTGCAGCCAAAAACCATGGTCATAGACCGTTTTCTTAAACATTGCACGGAGTGATGGAAAGCATTCATATCTATGCCCTCTAATGACTTGGGCTTTGGAAGTAAATCACCGTATTCCCACATTGCAAGTATGAGATTCTAGTCTCCCAAGGTTCTTATCAACTGGCTTTAGAGCTTTCTACCATGTCTATTAACACAAAATGTGCAACGCCAGTGGTAACATTAGCGTTGTAGTGTTTGCCCAAGACTAGTCAAATGGCCAGTGCAATGCTAGTTCGTGCGGGTGCTGGGATTGTAGAGCTTTGTCGGATTTTAGGATTTAGGATCCAACTACAAGATGCGAGACTTATGGTGTGTTCTCGCAGAGTTGTTATCAATTTACTTGTAAGAAACCATATTCTAAGTTGTAAAAACATAATCCAACTTGTTACATGTCGAATTGTCACATATACATAAATGACGTGGAAGCATAGTCAACTTTTAGTAAATCATTGTTTAGTGTCAATTGTCACTTCACAGTCAAACAGAGCACATAATGATGTTCTACTGTGATGAATCCTGCCTGAAGAGGTTTTGATCTTGCTTGCAAATTTATATATTTGTTTTTTACCTTCAATGTTCCTATCCAATCAGAGACATCCTTCCCTCTTTCTCTATGTTGAGAGAAAAAGCCTGAGAATAGCTTTAAACTTTCTCATGTTCCCTCTTATGTAAAAGCTAAGCATGGAAGAAACGGATGTAAAACCTGGGATTGAAAATAATTTTAATTAAGAGAATTGGGGGGAGAGGGTAGCAAGGATTGAACTCTTAACTAGTTGATTGAACACAACGTTGAGTAGCTAAAATATCTTGGAAGGATGAGGTGTTGAATTTTGAACAGGGAATTGTTTTTTATATTTCTATGTCTAACTGGTTCAGTAAGGTTTATATTGTCTGTAGTAAATGAATATACAAGACTGTCCTTTCCCTCTGAAGAAGGGATTGACTGGTCTGATGTGTCAACCTCTTTCTTTTTCATCCTTTTAAACTTTTGCTGGCTGGCCATTCGTTATGGGCATGTGCTTACTTGACTCGAATGAGGACAGATTTGTATTTTTTTTTTATAATTTCACACTTAGAAAATCTTTCTATTTGTGACTATAAATAATTCGGCGGACTTCGTTGTGCATGCAGATTATCTACCACTTACTTTATATCTTAGTTTTGAATGTTGATGATTTTATATAATCTTCATCAAGCAATTTTCCAATATCATGTGATAGATGCAATTAATAAGGTACTGATAGGCAACAACATCAATGTCAAAGATTATAAGATGGTGCTTGTAAATTGTTATTAACTTTGAAAATTTAAGTTGAAATCCAGCGTAACGGTTTCTATCTAATTTGACTTTCCTTATCAAATTTGGACTCTTACAACTTGCTGTGATTATTACGCAGTGGGTTGTCAGCAAGATGAAATAATTCTTATTAGATGAGGCTTACTGTGTGATTGTTGTACAGAAAACTGACCTCAGCAGTCCCTTTTTAGATGATTTTAAGTGGTTACAAGTTAAAATTGACTGGATTAACTAAGTCTTTGAGCAATTTCTCAGATAGCTTAGATACAATTTGTTTTCCATTATGTTTAAGGGAAAGGGCATCCAAAGCCCTTTCTGTAGTTCTAAAGCTCCGCAAAATAGGGATATCCTCTCTCTTGCAAATGTTTAGATGATGCTCATTTCATTGTATAAGTATTTGCATGCATAGGAAATGCTCTATAGATTTCTCAGAATATATTTATGAATGAATTTTTTGTTACATTAACCGAGTCATGTAACTAACCTAGAGAAATAAGGCTGTTGTTGATATTGTTGTTTGTTAGGAGTGTATTTTTGAACCGCTGATACATCTCTACTGCAATTTGCAAGAGTTAGTCTACACTTTGCGCTGCATGATGCTTCAATTTCTCATGTGATGTTTATAAAGGATCTGTTTACAAAACTGAACAATGATCTCTTTAGTTTTTTTTGTCGTGTTATCCTAGGACAAAACTTGGGTGTTTTATGGTGATGATCTCAAATCATAGTTAAGAGTTTGATCCTGATAACACGCCGATTTTTAACACTGATCTTTTGTATGCATGCGAAAATCCAATTTTAACGGAAGAAATAAACAATACCACAATACATAAACTACCGATCCTAAGTGTTGTCTTTTTGTCTTGCCCTGAATTAGTAGGGTTGTAGTAGTGGCAATATTCTATTTTCCCTTGAAGATCCACAAACATATATCTTATCTTTCTTTTTCCTCAGGTGGCAGAAAGAGCTTTGTTTTTGTGGAACAATGATCATATCGTGAACTTAATCAAGCAAAACAGAAAAGTGATACTGCCCATCATCTTCCCTGCATTGGAGAGAAATACTAGAAGTCATTGGAACCAAGCTGTCCATAGTTTGACCTTAAATGTGCGGAAGATTTTTATTGATGTCGACGCTGATCTATCCAAAGAATGTTTACAAAAGTTTGAGGAAGACGAGTCAAAGGAAGATGAAGTCAAAGCAGGGCGTGAAGCCACGTGGAATCGCTTGGAAGAGCTTGCCATTAAGAAAGCTGCAAGTGGGGAAGCAGTGCTTATTGGTAAAGCACCAACTCGCCCCTCTGCAGGTTAGATAGAACTGGAATATGTGTATTCTGCTCCAATAGCTTCATTTTTTCAAAAAAAAAAAGATTTTTATAGTGTTCTTTTTTTGCATGTGATGGGTTGGCCAAGAGGGGCAATTTCTTGAATACTTTCTTATTCACTTCTTATAGAAAGCTATGATTAGTAGCAAATATCTCATGCAAAGCAACATCCAAAGCTTAATTATTAGTACACACACACATATACATATACACACACACACACACACACACACACACACACACACACACACACACACATATATATATATATATATATATATATATATATATATATATATATATAGCTTATACTCTTGTGCCCAATGCTGCCACAAAGCACGTTTAGGTCACTTCCCTTTGCAATGAATATTTCGTTTCAAGACTCTAGGATTTCAGTTTGCAATAGTTTAAGGAAAAACTTAGAAACAGAGACAAAGCATTTTTCTAACGTAGACTTTGTCTTCATTTGACCTGTTTTGGTCCACAATCCAATGTATAGGTTGAATTTGAATTGCATGCCGGCCTTGTCCAATGGGGTGATTATGGTTGTGTGCTGTTCCCACGTAATTTTTCCCAAGGGACAAACCCTTCAAAAAAATTCATTTTTTTTCATTATTATTATTATTTTAAAACTTATACATCTTGTACAATTTCAATTAATTAACAATCTATCATAAATAATGTAATTTTCTAAAAAATTAAGGGAGGTTAATATAATGTTTTAAGGTTATCAATGTAATGTTTTGAACAACAGTTAAAGGATATTAACGTAGGGAATGAACAGATTAAACACGTATGTAGTTGGGTTTTACAAAATTTGAGTAGAGTAAGTACATTACTGTTTCAAAGTCAATACTAAAAATTAAAAATAATCGTTAATGATGACAGAATTTCAGAGAAAAGAGGAATTATCCGTAATATATTAATTTCTCATAAGAGAGAAATGCAATTTATCTACGCGAAGGGATGAGAATTATTTACTCATTTTAAAAATGTTATTTCATTCACACTAGTCAAATTAAAATAAAACTATTTAAATTAAATTATATAGTCGAATTTAATCAAATTAAAGCCCAGTTATAGTTTCTGGCGTGATAAAAAAAATTGAAACCCAACAATAAAGGCCGCATTATTGGTTTATTCATTTCTGAACCCGTTTTCACAATTTAAGGACGTAATATTATTTTAAGCCCAAAACATACTTTCATTGAAGTAAAAGTCTAAAGCAAAAAGGTGTAAAATTATTTGTTCTTTCCAATCTGTAGTAAGCATTTTTAAAATTAATGAATAATAAATTCACTTTTGTACTTTTACTTTTACATGTTTCTTTATTATAAACTTTTTAAGTTGTTAAAAGATTTAATTCTACATAAAGTAAAATTTTACAGATCAGTTAGACGTATTTGGAGAACCAAGTGTTATAAAATGTCATATAACTATTTAAACCTTTCGAAATATATTTTTTTTTTCAAATGTATGTTTTAAGACAAAAGTAAAAAAGAAACTTATATACTTTTGTCCTTATCATTATTATTATTACCATCATTGTTAGTTATTTCTATTTTATAATATCATTTATCATCACAAAATGATATTAAATTAATTAAAAATAATTATTACCATATGGCATGATTTGTAACAAGTACAGTTTTGAAAATTTTAAATGACAATAAAGTTTAAAACAATGAAATTAATGAAAACTTGATTCAAAATAACAAATTTAAAAAAGACAAAACATAATTACACGTTATTTATAAAAAGAAAAAATATTTTTTTATAAATTTAGATAAGGGATGAGTTATTATGATTTAATAAGAAAGAAGAAGAATATTTAAGGAGGAGAAATTTTAACATGTTTTTTGTTATATTATTTTTCTTATATTATATGGTGTGTGCGTGCCTCTTTTTCCGCCACGTGTATGGCCTGTTTTCCTTGCAATTATTAGTTCAATTAAAAAATAAAAAAGAAATGATAGGATAAGAAAAACTCTTTCACTCGTTTACTCTCGCTGTATCAATGGAAGTTGGAATGTCTCTGAACGCGCTCCTTCGTCTTCCTCCGACGAATTCACGCTTCCTCCACAACGACGACGTTTCCGTGAGACACTCTCTGGTTTCGAACCGGAGGCAGCACCGGAGCTTGAAGGCACCGCAGCGTCACGTGTTTGTGGTTGAAGCCAAGGGCAAAAAAGGAATGATGGCTCGTCAGTTTCAGCGTTCCACTCCCCCTCATTTACCGAAAATTGAAGACGATGGCAATCCCAAATTCGTCGTCTTCATTCGCATGGCCAACGTAATCATTCCTTAATATTTAATTACTGTTAATTAAATTCAATGTTAAGTTTCTCATTCCATTCTTGCCCTTCGTTGCATTGCAGGTATACCTTTGGTACCCTCTCAGCATTGTAACAGGTGGCACCACCGCTAAAATCATGGTTGCAGCCAAAGATAATTTTCTCGGCAAGTATATCTACAAAGATACCCTTGACAGAAATCTCGCCGCTGTTATCTACAAAGTAAGCTCTTTTTTTTTCTTTCACATTTCGTAAATTATTTTGCTGATGAAAAAAATTGTTGTTGTGTGAGAAAAAGTAGCAGAAGGGGCATTCCGAGAATTGAACTCGGGACCTCTCGCACCCTAAGCGAGAATCATACCACTAGACCAAATGCCCACCTTGAAAAGATTTAATTTTTATAACAATTTGAATAATTGTTGCATTGGAATATGTTCTGTCCCAATAAAATAAACTGTTGTCATTTTAAAAATGAATAGTGCTTGGATTATCTATTCGAGAGATGGAAAAAAATTGAGTGTTGTGGGACCAATAATACAACTATGATGTGATGTGTTCTTAAACAACTGATGTTTATTGAGTCCTTTATAGCCACTTTTGGGTATTTCTTCAAATTTATAATTCATAAGCTGATAAGCATGATCCTGAAGCTTGCTAATGATAAAATAGCTAAACAAAGTTTATTTTGTTAAATTTCACTGCAGAACCCATTGAAATAAATTGAAAAGTGTTCATAGTTAGGTCATAAGTTACTTTCATATGTCCAAATAAGCTCTTTGTAAGTTCTCCCGAACACACTGGAGATCTTGGGTAACTGCTAATTATACTGGACTGTGTTTTCTTAATTTCTCGTTGTTCTGTTTTTGCTGCTGACTGTTTTCTTCAATTCAAAGGATGAGAAGGAAGTACAGAAATCTGCATTCAAACAATACCGTGTATTGCGTTCAGCTACTGATTTCAGATACGGCTACAAACTTGTTGTAATGCTCTTATACTTTCTTTTATAAATAAATGTTTTGACTCCAATTTCACTCTTTCCAACATTAAAATTTATGCATTACGAAGTTAGAAGACCATTCCCACATTTTGTTTAAAGTTCTCTGTATGATGATTTTGCAGGAGAATACCAATATAAGAGCTGCCCTTTCTACCACCGATGTTATTGAGGTAACATTCTTGACATGTTCTCCGTTGCTGTCATCATAAATTTTTTGAAGTTTCAACCGAACTTTAAACCTCACGGCAGTAAATATGTGTGTTTTACAAATACAACAAGAAATTCTGGTTGTTTACATTGGTTTTTATTTTTGATTTGGCAGGAAAATAGCAATTTTCTTAATCGTTGAACTTTTTAAATTTTTTGAAGCTCGACAATAGTTCATGTTAGAAATATTATATCTTTTATCTTTCAGTTTATCTTTCAGTTAGTTTGTTAATATTTATTATTTGTATTTTGGGCTTAGCCCATATTTTTTCTATTATAAATAGAGAACCCTATGTGTGTTTAACAAAAGGAAGATTAATTCCATATATAATTTTCATTATGTTTAACATGGTATCAGAGCCTGGTTTTCTGATCTCTTCCGGTGGTCTTTGCTGTCTGCCGGCGGCTGGCCGTCATGGTCGCCGGCAGCCCCTAAAAATATCCAGAATCAGAGACAAGTCTCCTAGAAACCACTGCCTCCTCTGAATGACCGGACCTCCCTCTCTCTGTTTAGACCTTCCAGAGCAGTGATTGCTGCCATCAAAATCTGTCTTCTTCTCGTCGCATGTTTCTGCATCTTCGGACCTCCTTCTTTCTGCGTAATTTGCTGTAGAGGGTTTCGTCTCTGTATTGCTGTAGAGGGTTTCGCCTCTGTATTGCTGTTCTTGCCTTCTTCTTCCTTTCTTATTGTATCTGTCACACAGATCTGAAGTGTTTGTTGCTCCTTCTCTGCTGCTCTCCTTCTCTGCTGCTCTCCTTCTCTGCTGCTCTCCTTCTCTGCTGCTCTCCTTCTCTGCTGCTCTCCTTCGTACATTTTTGAAGTTGAAAACCTAGTTTAGTTATTTCAAGCTTGGTTCATACAATTTGTATGCTCCAGCTTGAGGGGGAGTGTTAGAAATATTATATCTTTTATCTTTCAGTTTATCTTTCAGTTAGTTTGTTATTATTTATTATTTGTATTTTGGACTTAGCCCATATTTTTTCTATTATAAATAGAGAACCCTACGTGTGTTTAACAAAAGGAAGATTAATTCCATATATAATTTTCATTATGTTTAACAGTTCATATTATAAAAATATATACTTTCTATCCCGGCATTACAAAAAATTTACTTGTGATATTTTCCCACTGATATAATGTTTGCATATCCAAATTGAAGCTCCCTACACCAGATAAACTAAAAACCGTCCTGGATAAAGTGAAAGACTTTTTTGGAGACGCGAAGGAATCTTTTGGGAAGATAACAGCATTGGGCACTACTACAACGGAGGATTCGGAGGAAGACGCCAACGAAAAAACCAAGTAAGTTTTACATCTTATTGCCTGAAGAAAAACTCTGAATTTTTTATTATTAGGGAATTTCTTCATTGTTTTCCTACTTTCCTCAACATCGACTGTTAACATGGATATTTGACGGAGTTTATCTGATCCTATGCATTTCTATGAATATTATTCAACTAACATGGACATGATAGCTTTTTTTTTGTTGCAAATTTGTGATGCTTTAGATTTTTTTTGGCCTATGTCAGGGTTAAAGGATGAAACTATAGCTGGAAATGATTTGCTTAAAGTGTTGAGTAGCCTGTGACCCTTTGAGCTCAGAATGCTCAATTATGTTTATGGATTGGTTGGAGAGGAAACTTCTGTGCAC